AGGAACCTGCTCAGATCTACTAAAGGAGTGTGAGGGATATTTTAAGGGATATTTGAAGTGGCAATTGGGAGTCCTGTGCTGGGAACTGGTGCAGAACAGGGTGCAATATGGGTGATATGGTTTGCCGAGAAAATATGAGGTCACTTAGGAAACATAGGATTCTGCCAGGTTCAACTATTTTCTCATGGAATATATTCTTGTCTATTCTCTCCAAGGTCTTTGATACCACCACTTGCTATCAAAATCTTTATTTCACTGGACATGTCAGTGACTGGACATGATACTTTCTGCATGTTCTCTGCCATAATCTGCATGTTCTCTACCCTTCCCCTGACTTTCACTGCTATGTGACTGCAACTGAGATCACAACAGAGCGTCTGTTGGTGGAGCATCTGTCCCAGATTCAGTCCCTGGTATTTCCATGTTGGGCTGGGAGAGACCTGTGTCTGAAACTCTGGAGAGCCACTGCCAGGGAGAGTGGACAATCATGAGCGAAATGGACTAATGGTCCAGCTCAGTGTAAGATGCATTCCTGTGTTCCTACAATGGAAAGTGATGTTAGCATGGAAAGGAGAATGGTCTAGCTTTGAGGCTCTGAAGTGAAGGCTGAGCCAAAACATAAACCCTATCAGGTGTATCAACTAATTAAAGAAAAAAGGTGCCAAAACAATACATTGCAGGGAAGCTCAATGACCAGTTTTAGAGCCATTGAATTTTTCCCCCTGTGAAGTGTGTGTCAAGTCTAGCTGGCATTAGTTCAGTCATTCTGTTTTCCTTTTTGTTGGATGTATTCGGAATGCATAATATTAGAATGAGAAACACTGAGTCCCAAGATTAAAAAGGGGAGAAGGGGAGGGGGAAAGTGGATTCATATACAAGCTATTTGTTCAGTGGACTGTATAATGCTGGAGGCAGAAAGTATAAAAAGAAATCCTCAAAGTCTGCAGCAAATCAACATGTCACTTTTAATCTATACTTTAATAAGTTATGCAGAAAAGCCTGGAGTTTCTGTCAAAACAAAAAATAGATCACTTTTTGAAATCATATCAGCAAAGGTTCCATCATGAGGTTTGTTCTGAAAATGATCTGGATGATTAGTAGTTAAGGCTGAAAATGAAAATTTAAATTTAGAACCCCCCAAAAGTGGGCACTGAAACATGTTGCAGTTTGGATTGGTCTGGTTCAGAGTGTCAGCCAAATATGTCTTATTATTGTTTAATCACCAACATCATTTATAGACCACCCTTCATCAAAGACCACATGGGAGTATAATATGCTTTTTTAAAAGCTGAAGATACCATACAATACCATACAATAAAATCATCATGCACCAAATCATTAATACCAAGCAATTTTCAAATCACAATAACCAAGACTGCAGCTGTTAACACATCGACATAAGCACATAAATTAGGATGCCCCAACAGCCCAAGTGAATAAATGTGCCTTTAATAGACATCAAAAAATTCCATATTGAAATTGTTTAATGCAACTCAAGGGACAGGGAGTTCCAAACTTCCATTCCACCATCATAATAGTTTCTCAGTCCTCCTTAAACTAAGCACACTTAGTCTGCATTGTAGGGAGCGTTGGCCCTTAGGGCTATTTCCCCCTATTTTAACTTTTTTCATCCCTTAGGGTTATTCTTCCCCAAGGTTGGTTGTTCTTCTTGTTGTTGTTTTTACTTCTGCAATCCTTGGTATTCCTCCAACACTGATGGTATTTCCCTCTGAATTTTGACTAAATTAGGATCAGCACAAACAAAATGAGTTTGCATTATTATATAGGATTCTCTTAGTTGTCCCAGGCTAGAACAGCCAACTTAAGGGTTTTCTGAAGATTGCACAGGGCTCTCAACCCACAGGTCTTAGCATGTAGCAGTGGCAATAAATATGCAGCAGGTGAATGATCCAAATTTGGATTTAACTATCTCAAGTCTAGTTTCCACCCTTGTTAGAAACAAAAGTCTGACCATTGGTCTTCCTAGCTCAGCATTGTCCACACAGACTGTCAGTGGTTTCCCAGGGTTTCCGACAGGGAACATTTCCAATCCTACCTGGAGATGCTGGGGATTGAACCTGGGAACCTACAAAGCAGATGCTCCACAACTTAACTAAAACACATTGTAGGAAATGCCACATTAACTAGTAGGACCTAATCCACCATTTGGAATCAATAGCTCAAATCATCTGAACTGGGGTGGGGAATCCTTTTTTCCCATATTTCATCATGTGGAAGCTTGGAGGAGGGCATGTGCTGGGGTAAGGTAAAGGGGGAAAGTAGCTGGCCCTTGTCCTTGTCCCATGGCTTATATTCTAGCAGAGTCAAAAATTTATACGCACCCATCCTCCCACATATCTCTCTATCCAGGAAAGCAAGAGGTATTAGCACAGGTCAATGAAACATTCCAGCTAGGCAACTGCACCTGAGGTGAGCAGGGAGCAGGGGCAATGGGGTCTGTAGCCTGGAAAGAGCCCCAAGGGCCAGGTAGAAAGGTCTGCAGGACTTATTGAGCTCCCAGGGCTGACATTCCCCACCACTGATCTAAACCATTATTTAGGTTCTCTTGAACACTGGTCTTTAGCTGGTCGGTCAGGACCTGCTAGTGAGTTCCAGTCTGATCCAAGGTGGGTTACAACAGAAGCACTACCACGATGCAAATATATGGTCAAAGATTAAGAAATGGGTCCCCAAAAGATGGGTCCTTGGTCTGAAAAAGTTGGAGATTGTGTCCTCCCTAAAAGAGGGCATGTGCTGTGGTGAAACCTAGAGACTGACCTCCTGGTTGTGGGTGGGTCTATTGGATAGCCACAACGCCCAATTGGTAGGTCCCTCATTGCTGGGTGTAATCTGGCCAACGGGTGCAGTTTAAATGGATCGAGGGACCTATATAATCCCTTGCACGTGTCCCAGAGCTTTCTCTTTCAGTTCGTGCATCGGAACACCCGCCCACCTCTCCCTATATTTAGGGTATTTTTGCAATTGACCTTGCTATGCCGTCATGTGTCGTCTGTCATTGGGACAGGGGCACGGCAGGAATTTTCCCCACTTGGCTGATTGGCTGTGGCCATTTGGGTTTTGCCTGCCGCGTAGCAATTTGTCACAACTTGTAAGGTTGTGGATAGGTACTGGTTCATGTGATAGGGATGGGAGAATTGTCTCACCATCCCTATGTGAAGGGTATTCTGTTAAAGGAATCCAGGGACTCAACTTGGTTTGGTCAACTCCCGTGAGGGGGTTGTGCCCGTGCCTGAGTCCAGGGGAGCATCTGGGGAGTGAACAGAGTCTGTTCCCAGGCTTTTCAGCTACCTCAGGTATTCATCTTTGGCTGACCTATGATAGAGCTCTAGGTCAGCACTACCTGCAAGATTGTAGGGAGCTAGTCGAACCAGAGCCTATGCAACCACTCACTTTTCTGTAATCAATAAAGTTGTGGGCTAAATTCTGCCAAAAACCAAAACTAAAATTTGAGTCAAATGTGTCTTTATTTAGGGGGGAGGTCTCTGGGTCTGAACACGCAAATATCTGATCTTGAACATCTCCTTGGTGTGTGTGTGTGTGTGTGTGTGTGTGTGTGTGGAGACAGACACTGGTATGCAGATAGTTTAACACATGGCTTATTTCTCAACTCATTTGTGTTGGATTTCCCCTGTTTATGTGTTTGTTGTTCAGCCAAGCATTCATTTCAGGACCAACTTAATAGCACAGGTACAAAGCGAATGTGTGATTTAACAATTTTTATGAGACAGCTTGTCTTGGGGATTACTTTTTTTTAAAAGTTGCTGTTGTTTAGAAAAGCTGATTTAGTAGTGTGCCAAACAGCCTTCCCAAGAGATAGTTCGGTATTCCCAGTATTGGGTGTTGAATAAAGACATAGTGTAAATATAGATATAGGTGCATGGCATGGACGGGTGATCAAAAGCAAAAGTTCTGATAGAATGGCTAAGGAAGGGCTTTAAGCCACTTTAAAATCACCAGGGGCCTTGATTACTCACCTTTTCATTTTGCCCAGAAGCATGCGAACAAATATATAGCAAGAGAGGGAATTCAATAAAGGCAACAAAACATAGTGTCAGAGCTGGAGGCTGCTGAGAGTCTTTCTCCTGCAGTCTGCCCACTTCATTCTCCCCATGAGGGTAGAGCGTTGCAAAGAATACACAGTATTCCCAATCACATATATTCTTTTTAAAGCAAAAATATAGAGTGGGTGGCACAGATGAGGATGCTTGAGAGAGAGAAGAAATGATTGGACGGGATGCGCCGCTAAACCCTCCCCACTGTTCATTGGCCTTCCCTGACAATCCTGGAAGGCAGAAGGGACATTGCTGCTGCCTAAGTGCTGGACAGAAGGCTGCCCCCTGCTGCAAGGCCCATTTCCACCTGATCTAGGACGCAGGGCCCAGACTCACCCTGAACAGCTAAAGCAGGCATAGGCAAATTCGGCCCGCCAGATGTTTTGGGACTGCAACTCCCACCATCCCTGACCACTGGTCCTGTTAGCTAGGGATGATGGGAGTTGTAGTTCCAAAACATCTGGAGGACCAAGTTTGCCTATGCCTGAGCTAAAAGGCTCCTGGGATACCGGAGGGACATTGCTGGAACAACTCTTGGGTTGGGGCAACTGGCTAAAATGGTTTAAAATGTTTAAAATATTTCCAGTTTTGATTCCTGCTTTGTTTTTGTCGGGTTGGTGTTGGTTAAATGTTTGGTTGGGGTTGGTGGTTGTTTTAATTTGGGTATAACTGTAAACTGTTTGTTATTATTGTTGTTGTTGTTGTTATTGGTTTCTATTGATTTATTGGTTGGTTGGTTGGTTGGTTGGTTGGTTGGTTGGTTGGTTTCTTGTATAGGATATTTTGTTTTTTAATGTTTGATGTTTTGTCGTGTTTTCATATATATTGTAAGCCCAGCCAGATGGGTGGGATATAAATTAAATTATTATTAATGCTGCTGCTGTTGTTGTTGTTGTTGTTGTTGTTGTTGTTGTTGTTGTTGTTGTCGTCGTTATTGCCCGCTCCATTTCAATTGATTTGATCCCCCCCCCCAAGTTGGGTACAAAAGAATGATATCTGTGGAAAGATAAATGTCCCTGTAGAGTCTGTGCAGGAAGGCTTATGAAATACAAGTGTCCCTCCACTTAAGTGGGGAGTTACATTCTGGGGCCCTGTGTGAATAAGTGAGTGTGCATGGAGAAGAGAGAGAGAGGCTCACACTGGAAATCGCTTGGGGCCGCTGCCCGGCCTTTCCCAAGCCTGCCTGCCTCCCCGTCTGCCCTAGGGGAGCCAGTGCATGCAGTGGTGGCTGGCCACAAAGGGCGATGGCTAAGAAGGGTGAACTGATGTCAGGATGGGGGCGCAGATATATGGTAGAGGTGGAGAGAAGACAACTCCTGCCCCCATGCCTCAATCAAAGGCTGCCTTCCCTTGCTTGGGCAGCAGCCCCTGGCGAGACAAGGCCAATTGATTGATTGATTGATTGATTGATTTCACAGTGCACAAACATGGTCGTGTGTGAGTGGGATGTGTGTGCGCACACACACATATATACATTATTCACATTACCTCAGCGAAGTCAAGAATGGGAACAGGTAAAATATGTAGTTCTGCATATTTGTAGAATATTTGTAGGCCTGCTCCAGCTCCACACTCATGTTTCCATGGAGCAAGTAAGGGAGAAAATACACAAGTGTCCCGAAGCCCTTCAGCACTAACAGACATTAAATAAATGACACAATTTCCCCAGCACTTCAAATTAAATCTACAATGTCACTTACAGTCTGTCACACCCAGAAACCATGTAATCGCAGGATTCATGTTCTTAGCTAGGGGTGAGTCAAAAATTCTACTCACCGAATTACAGTGTTTTAACTGGAACATGTATTAGGATTCTTACATAGTTTCATTTATTTTTTAATATTTCCGAAAGTTTGTAAGGAACATTGTACATGAGCTGTTTGCCTCAACATTCAGTCCTTTCATATATTTTAAGGGTGCATCATCAGCTCTGGGTGGGGGCAATAACAAGGCAAATTTGAGTGATTTGGGGGTCTTTCCCACCTCCCAAGAAACTTCTGTCCTTTTCTTCAATATATGATTGTTTGTTTCCATTTATCTCATTTTTATCTAGGTCCATGAGCCCTGGAGAACCTTTCCAAAATGATGCCTACAAGGTACTGAAGATTTGGGGGGGGGAGTTTAAAGCACAGCAGCAGATGTGGGTTTTTTATATTAAAAAAACAACCAGTTAACAGCATTTAAGTTTGCTAAAAAAAAATCCTACAAGCTCTGCTTTAACTAAGAAACCCATCAGAGATCTTCAGAACTCTGCAGACAGCATTCTAGACAGCCTCACATTGTAAAGCATGTTGGAAGACACATACAAGCACTGGAAGGAAAGGGTCAATGTAAAGCTTAAATAAATAAATGTGCAAGGAACAACTCACACCGCTGAGCCCCTGTTCGTTATTGTAAGATAAGAAAAAGCAAAAGATAAAGCCCCACCCTCTTCCTCCTGAGGGATTATGAAATTGAATTCCTTTAACTTCGCCTTCAAAATGACCCTGAACATATTTGTCTGCAATTTAGAAGGCTTAAATCTATTCTGGAGGACCTCCTGTGCCTATTCTTTTCATTCACTTTGGCCAAAAGTGGGGGAAGGAATTATAGTCATTTGTTAGATTCCCCATTATGCTGAACGGGAAACACAGCTTTATTTTACATAGAACAGCTCAGAATCTGAATTATAGATCAAAGTGGAGGGAGCATAGATGGACTCAGAAACAGACTGGATTATTATTATTATTATTATTTTAAAAAAAAGCTACTGCAGATACAAGGAGAATCTTGGGGCTCAGCATGACCCTCACATATTTAGCCCTTCTGTACATTGATGTATTCACACTGTAGGTTTTTTGTAAAACACCACACCAAAGAATCTCAGTGCAATCATATTATGTACAATTAGACCAAGACTGCATTTTTTGCTGTGTTTTTCTCAATATGCTTGTGCACATTAGTACTGTACAAAGATAAAGGTGCAAATTATCTGATGGTGAAAAGTATTATTCTACTTAAAAGAGAATTAAGGATTAGCAGAGTAACAGAATGCAGTTAAATCAAAATTCAGAAACAATAAAGGAACAGAATGGGGAACAGTCACCTATCCAGCCTCCGGGCTCCAAGTGTTGTCTGGCAGCAAGTAGTTGTTGATCTGTTCTGGTATTACAGTAGACCTTGACAGGCAAAGCCTTGAATGCTGTTGGCTTGGAGCTGAGCTGCAAAAAACAATACAATCACATGGTTCAGTATGATATGGGTTCACGCTATAAAGGTAACATACAATTCTTCCAGGAGTTGTTTCCTTGTGTTTTTTTCTAGCTACAATGGTTGGGTTGCTTATATTTTTAGTTCGTATTGATTCAACAAATCAAGGATAGAACAACAGTTGAATCAAGGCTAGAACAACAGTCGCCAAAAGGTCAGAATCTATCACTTTTGTTAATTGAATCCATCTTCAAGGCTACTGTGCTGATGCTCCAAGGTCAGGAAAGGGCAAATACCTCTATAAGAACTGGAAATGGATAGCAGTAGATTGTGATACACCAATTCTAGCTGGTGATGAGTTTAATTTTGTGCGTGTGTGTGTTTTAAAAAAGAAGCCACGAGTTGTTTGATATTTTGTCAGTTTATTTTCCACCAGGTAAATGATTCTGCTGGGTTTCAGTTCTTTTAGGCTTACCTGGCGGGCAGAAATTACTGTTAATGCATCTCTTATTAATAGCATATAATGCTGTTAACAAAAGGATCCTCTAGGAATGTCTAGATATGCTATTAAAATTGGTTTGTACCCTTGCCATGTGCAAAGAGTAGCTGATATTCCTGTGTTCATCGCTCCAACAAAGCGTGGGGGTTGACATATGCCATCCTAGACTGCTAAAGTACCTGTGAAGTCACAACAAATGGTTCCCTTAGGATATCTCTAGTTCAATATTCCTTTTCTACTTGTTTGTGCATTGATTTCCACTGAAATTTTCAAAGAGCCTTGCATGATATCTAGCCTGGCAAATGTGTGTTTGTGGAGTAGGTGTGTGTGTGCGCACATGCACATTGTGCTGTTGTTTTAAACAGCACTCAAGACACTGCAAATGAATCTGCAGCTAAAGGTGAATGAGGTATGAAGGAACAGATGGATTTTTAAAAAAAAATTGCCATGCATACTTGGGGATGACAAGCAGTCTTTGTGGTTAACTTGCGTCCATCACTCATCCACCGCAGCCACAAGTAGTCCCTTACATTTATGAATATATGAGCCATCACAGAACAAATAACAGCCTTTAATCAATGACCGAGCAGGAAGCAAAATTAGGTCCAAGCCACACCATAGATTTAAAGCACTCTTATATCATTTTATACCGATTATGGCTTCCTAAAAAAGAAACAACCTGAGAACCATAGTTAGTTAATGGTGCTTACCTCACAAAACTAAAATCCCCAGCTTTTTTAACAAATCATAGTTCCCAAGATTTTCAGTGACTGGATCAGGCCATTGGACCATCGAATGCAGCATACTGTTCTCATAGTGACCAACCAGATGCCTATGGGAAGCCCTCGAGCAGGACGTGAGTGCAACAGTACTTTATCACTTGTGATTTCCAGCAGCTAGTATTCTCAGAGGCTTGTTGCCTCCAACACACTCTGATTAGTGCAAAACGAAACTGAGGCCCTTTAGACTGATTTAATGAAGTGCTGTACCAGTGTTGCTGCTTATAGGTTCCATGTGTACGTTTCGAAAGGTCACATACTCTGAATGTTTCAGGATTAGCCGGGGGGGGGGGAGTAGCGGGTTAAGTGCTAATTTATTTGACAGAGTTATTAATGATAAGACTTAGAATGGAAAACATGGTTTCTAAACTAAGCTGGGCTAGTTAAACAAAATCCACCAGCTTCCTGCTAATTGCTAATGGGCTTGGGATAGGATTAAAATGATCTCTACGTAGCAAACATATTAATCCTGCAAAAAAAAAAACCCCAACAACACTAAAGGGATAAATATTTTCTAATTGTTTAATCCAATAAACACTTGTAAACAGGTATGCTGCTGCATGATAAACACAAAACAGACTTAGGCTGCAGTCCTATGCATGGTTAGCTGGGAGTAGAATTCAGTGGAATTTGTTTCTGTGAAATAAATAAAATTATGAGAAATAAAATGAAACAATTGGTGTGGTGTGTGTGTGTCCCCCCCCCCATCTATCTATAATTAACAGAATTGTGTTTTTCCCCCTCAGAGAAAGTTATCCTTCTTAGGCCTTATTCATTCTTTCCCTATGTGAGAACATTGTTCCCACAGCCATCCCTGGATGAGACTCCAGTGAAAAATGTCAGTACGGGGCTAGTTCTGTCCCAAGAAATGCCGGCCAACATTCCCAAGTGAAGGCACTTTTATCAACACAGCCTTGTAGTTCCAGCACCCACCATCTCTTCTCAGGAATCCCATATCAATAATAATGTTTTATACAGTCCTCAGTCATTCACATCCAAGACCTTATTTAAACATGATGTTCAGGTGCATTGAAACTGCTTCCCCATACAGAATATCCCACGTAGCTGCTTTCATATTGAAATTGGCCTTAACCACAGTGTGTGTTTCGAGCATGCCTGTGCAATGTCGACTGGATTATGAAACCCTGCTGTAAAAAAATCAGCCCACTTAGTGTCACATTTAGCATGACTGCACCAGTGCAACTGATATATCAAGCAGGTATGATCATCTACAAAGTAAAATATTACTTACCTAGCAGGGGGTGGGGAATCTAAGAAATAATATTGCACAAAAAAGAGAGTTTGGGTTTCCTTAGCAATTGTCTCTCCTGCATATTTCCATAATAATGTCTCTCCTGTATAGTGATTTGTTGGACCCATAAATTGTCCATCAGGCCCTTCTATTGCAGATGTTCTGTTCTTGTTCAGTGTAATGGTGGGGATCAGCAAGAAAACATGGAAGAGAAGAATTGTGGGCAATTGAAACTTCAAAGTGAACCCAGGTTTTTATTTATCATCAAGAGGAACAGTTGTCCTGCCACCTGCTGTCATGCCTTGTTGGGACCACGTCAGTCTGGCATGATGTCAGGTGTTCGGTAGGCATTGCTGTCAAGGAACTGGAGGTGCCAAGAAGGATATCACATTGCTGAACAAGACACTCCTCATCATGCCTCCAGTTCCTCAAGAGGAAGATGCAGTCAGGTACTGACAGGAAAACATCATCCAAACTGACATGGAACAGTGAATGCCATGGCAGTAGCAGTGCTAACTGTGATGTTCTGTAACGTTTTCAGAAAGCAAGAGAAATGAAGCGAAGTAATTAAGGTTATCCACAAGCAGAAGAAGATGCATGCAAGGGAGGCATGCAAATGGAAGCAGGCGTTTGTAGTTGCTGTGCACATAATAAACTGAGTATTAAAGCCACCATTCTACCTGTTCTGGACATGAGTAGATATCACAGTTTTTGTATATTCAAAAGGTAACTACTACAGTTGTACCTCAGTTTATGAACTTAACCCGTTCCGGAGGTCCGTTCTTAAACCAAAGTGTTCTCAACCCAAGGCGCGCTTTCCCTACTGAGGCCTCCCGCCACCGGTGCCCTTCCACCATTCGGCTTTCGAGGCAAAGTTCACAAGCCAGAACATCTACTTTCGGTTTTGCGGAGTTCATTACCCAAATAGTTCATTAACGGGACTGTTCATAGACCGAAGTACCACTATACTTTTTTTTCCAATTCCATTTTTACCTGTGCTCTGCAAACTGTTTAAGCTAGAACAGTTGAGTTTCACCCAACTCCTTCACATTTGTTTCAAACCTTTTAAAAATTCACAGTTTTACCCTTTTAAAAATTCATTGTTGGAGTGTATGTGTGTGTGAAGTAAGCAGTAATGTCTACTTGACCCATCCACTGGAACATCTATATCCTTTGCATAAGTGCAGGGGCTCCCTGTAGACAATTTAATGAATGCACAAAAGGTCAAAGCATAGCCTGCCACTGTGATGCTACACATATCTACCTGCATCCATTTTACCTAGGGATGATGGATAAGTCCATTCTTTGCCAAGTTTGATAAGAACTGATTTGCACCTTCAGGACTTAATGTGTGAATTGGAACTTGGTTACCCCTGGCTCCATGCCCTGCATAGAAATGCAGTTGGTTGCTGCAAGTGAGGTGGCACTCTCTCTCGCCCAAGCTAGTAAACACATTTTCAGGCTAGTATCTTCTGCAGACTTATTTACAAGGCTGGCTTAACTTGAATTTTTAACTTGAATTTTCACACAGATTTTTTAAAAAATGCAAATTAATATAGAAACAGGACAAATCAGACTTGTGGGTACACACATGTAAAAGTGACACAAACTAGAAATAGACTGATTGGTGCATCCTTATTTTTACTCCATTGACTCAAGCCACTTTGTGAAATGAACAGATACCCATTTTACTCCCTTACTCGATAAAACCTGGCCGGTTTCCATTTAAAAAGCAATCCATTATAATTATAGAGAATCATTGAAGCAACCTCAAAATTCAGCTGGCAACACCCCCCCCCCGCCCCCGGACAGAAAAACTACTACCACAACATCCCTGTAGGTCATCATTCAGTTTCTGCTTAAAAACTTGTAACGATGGAGAATGTACCACCTTCAGAGGCCTTCTGTTCCACTGTTCCATCAAAGGGGTTCTTCGCAATATTTATTCCAAATCATTTGTCTTGCAGTTTGCATCTGTTGGTTTGCGTCCAACCTTCTGGGGAACAAACCCAAATATATTCAGTTGTTACTGCATCAGAAGTGTTCTTCAGCACAGCATGCAGGAATCGGCAGGGGCCAGGGGAACATAACACTATCTTCACAAAACTATGATTCAATTTGTTTGTACGCAACATAAAACAGCTATTAATGTCAGTGATTCCAGAAATAAAATCTTCCATTTCTGCAGTCTCTGAATTGATACCATTATCTCTCCACTCAACAGGAGTGTAACATTAAGCACAATATGACTTTTATCGCAGCCAAGACATAAACAAAACAACAAGGCGGCTATTTTATTTACAACAAATACCTGCAGGTCAGATTTAACCTTGCAAAATGAAATGGTCTTTAGGTCCTAATGAAGGAGATCAGCTGTGCTATCTTTCGGATTCTTTGGATGCCGTGAAAATAAAAGTAGCCTAAAGTGTGGGTGCATTTCAGTTCTCTGTATCTATTCAAGTAATGCCTTATTTTGGATTTTGCAATGTGGTAGAAGGAGTTGATAGTGTCTGAATGAGGATGCTGGCATGTACATTTTATTGTGCAGTTTACAAATGCTAGTTTCTTCTCTTTGGAGCGGGAAAGGCTGGCCTCTCTCTTTTGTACACAAATATAATTAGTTCAACCAATATCTGATTAACAAAGTATGCATGACTTTCTGAGTTGCAGAAAATCCTACCTAATGCCATTCACACAACATGGCAAGGACAAGGAAACGAATGTGTGTGCTCAGGCAGTGGGGAGGGCATTTGCACCATACATTTAAAACACATACAATGCAAATTCAAAATACATAGCCTCCCCCCAAGAATCCTGGGAACTGTGGATTGTTATTTCTGCTGGGAAATGTAGCTCTGTGTAGCTTACAGGAACTCTCAGGTTTCTTGGGGGGGGGGGAGCCAAGTATGTGAAATGTACTCCAGAAGTATGGTGTGTGTGTGACCTGTGCCAGGATTTGGGCCTTCATCGATGCATTAGAACCTTGCAAGTATAAGCTTTGTCTGTGAGACCCATAGCACTGGGCAACAATTTTTTACTTTTTGAATGTTGTCTAGATTTCTACAACTGATTTAGGGTATTTTCGCACTGCTGAATCAGGAAATGGCATCCGTTTCTCTCCATCAGGTCAGGTTTTCTGTAAACTGAATGGTGGGCATTGATAAAGGTAAGTACACGTAAATTGCATGTTGCTTCACCATTTTTCAAACTTCAGGGCTTGAACTTCTGTTTCTTGGAACTCCTGGAATGCTCAGCAGCACGGAGGTCTGTCTTCAGAGTCCAACAGTACTCAGCCATCATGACTGCGTCCCTGATACCTGGTCGCCATCTCTTTCATGTCCTGATGGAATCTCTCCCCCTGCTCGTCACTCATTGAACCCAGGTTTTCAGGAAACCGGTCCATATGTGAAAATAGGTAGTGCATCTTGACGCTCATGTTGCAGCCCAGGTTTCTGAAAGCAGTCAGCATGTTGTTGACAAGTTCTGCGTAGTTTCTGGCCTTATTGTTGCCAAGAAAGTTCTTCACTACCAGAACAAATGCCTTCCACGCTTCCAGTGTGCCAGTGTGGTGTAGTGGTTAAGAGCGGTAGTCACGTAATCTGGGTAACCGGGTTCGCGTCTCCGCTCCTCCACATGCAGCTGCTGGGTGACCTTGGGCCAGTCACACTTCTCTGAAGTCTCTCAGCCCCAGTCACCTCACAGACTGTTTGTTGTGGGGGAGGAAGGGAAAGGAGATTGTTAGCCGCTTTGAGACTCCTGAAGGGGAGTGAAAGGCGGGATATCAAATCCAAACTCTTCTTCTTCTTCTTCTTCTTCCAGTTCCACTTCGTTCATTGAGTTTCCGAACTCTGGATCTCTGATGAGCTGACGGATCTGAAGACCATCAAAGATGCCAGCTTTCAACTTCTCCATGGTCAATCCTGGAAAAGCCTGGCACAAGTAAATGAAGCAGTCACCATCCTTGTCCAGAGCCTTGGTGAACTGCTTGATTAAGCCGAGCTTGATGTGCAGCGGTGGGAAGAGTATTCTGTCTCTGTCCACCAGAGGGTCGTTGATGACATTCCTTTCTTTGCAAGGCACCAATTCCTCCCGCACAGGCCAGTCCTTCTTCGTGTAATGCTGATCACGGTCCCTACTATCCCACATGCACAGAAAACATGGGTACTTGGTGAAGCCAAACTGTTGTCCCAACAAAAAGTTCACCATCTTCAGGTCAACACAAATAAACCACTTATGCTGATCATAACCAATTTTCTCCAGCACATACTTCACCGCTTCATAGTTCTCCTTCAGTGTACTCGAGTGAGCCAGGGGTATAGAGGCAAACTGGTTGCCGTTGTGTAGCAGAACACATCTCAGTGATCGCTTGCTGCTGTCAATGAACAGTCTCCAATCTTTGGGTTCGTACTGTGGCACTCCAAGCTTGAGCAGAAGCTGCGCAATATCTGCACAGTACACCAAGTCCTTCTCTTCCGAGAAAAAACGGAGGTACTCTTGATGCCTGTTGCACAAGAAGCTGATGCGAGCACTGTCAGAGAGGAAGTTTTTTTCCTTCAATCTGGATGCCAACAGTTCGGCAGAGTCCTTTGACAAGCTGAGGTCGCGAACTAGATCATTCAACTCCTTTTGGGAAAATGGATGTGGAGCATCATCTTCAAGAACCACTTCTTCTTCTTCATGTCCTTCAACACTGGAGGCATCTTCGTCACTAATGTCAGGAAGTTCTCCGAAGATAGGCACTGGAATTTCATCACAATGAGCTACAGGACGATGTGCTGATTGAAGATCAGGATACTTCGTGGGGCGGCTGCCCCATTAACTTAGTTTTGATCCCCCAACTTTATGCTTTGCTGGACCAATTTATGGAAGATTTCGAGGTTTTATGACTTCAAACTGATCCCTTTTCGACATAATCACCCAGAACTATCGGACCTGAATACTTCTTGTTATTAAAATAATCATTTCCAATCAAAACAATTATTTGACAAGGCATTTTACCCCCACCAACTTCTTCTAAAATGCTCCACACAAGCGTACATGTGAACAAAAACATTAAAAAGACATGTGGCCATAGCTCAAAAACTTGACCCGATTGAGCAAAACCAATGTGATTTTTGGATTCAGCGCATCAGATTCATCCTAAATCAGCTGAAAAAATGCAGACAACAAATTTGTTGTTGACCAGTGTAATCGCTGGAGGAATGATGTAGTCTATGCTATTGCTTGGTGTTTTCCCCTGTACAAAGCAAAGGGCAGAACTTAGGGATCTCTCCAGTAGGAACTTTGGCATGAGATGGTTCAGCACACATAGCCTAGCACAGCTCCCGCCTGCTCTGCTATTTGCACAGCTGCTGCAGTGCTTCTTTCCCAGTTGCCAAATGACTTGGGTTTTTTCTGCACATTTGTGCCACTCCTGAGTTGGGAACGCATTTATGGTCCATAGCTGTTACTATAGTGGCACATGGAAATATGGTCCCAGGAACAAGACTGTTTTGCTGCAATTTAAGGCCATTGGCTAGGGAAATCATGGATGATCACCACCACCCTATCAATACAAAAGGTAGCAGGTGTGACAAGTATCTATAGTTTTATCTGAATCACCCCTACTAATAGGCAGAGTGAGACAGCTGCTTCTGGTGGCCGATGCTGGGGCTTGGGCAGCAGCAATGAGATGCTGAAGAACAGAGGTGCTGCCTTCAAGTGTGGTAAAATTAAGCTTCCAGTTGAGTTGGCTTTAGTGTATGGAATGAGGGGAGGCTCCATTTTGTACTTCAACTTGAGTAGCAAAATGCTTTGGATTAGCTCTGACCATCTTCCCAGCCCATTTTGGGACTCCTTACATCAGAAAGACAAAACATTACTTCTAAAAGGGTTAGCTGTATTAGTCTCTTGCAGTAAGAAAAAGTTACCAAAGAAATCCTGAAGGAACATTTTGAAGTATTGTAGCATAAAGCTTTCTTGCAGCAAGCCACATCACAAGAACCAGAATGTTTAATACTAAATAAGCGCATTTCCATTTATCTGCTGCAGGGCAGATGATCATCACATGCTTTAAGGTGATGTTGCAGCAGACAAATTCTGATGTGCCTTAATGCATGTTTAAGGAGTTCTCCTTCTTGAGCAACATGTCTTAAAAAGCTACTGATGTGCCTATGATGGTGGATATTCGCAGCACTTTAGCTCTTTCCCTAAATACAGATAAGTGAGCATGTATAATTAATCTGAAAGGAACAAACCTGAGCACTACGAACAAGGTAGAACGCTTTTGTTCTATTCAGATTTCACACAAATAAAATGTAATTGCTACAACACTTAAAGAATCTGCTGAAATGAGAAATACAGCTTTCAGCTGTGTCCGGCAGGGAAGAAAGCACACACAGTAGACATTGTTACTCCCATTAAAATTACAGTGCTAATTAAACTAATTACACACATGAGCCAGGCAAATTGTTAGCGCTTCACTGTAGAAAAGGCTTCCCATCATTTAGCAGGGCAATGATTTTTGTGCACAAAATAATTAGAGGAAAAATATATGTAAATGGAATGTAATCATCCATTAGCTGAAATTATTCCTTGCCTTACCTTAATGCAAAGCTACTTCTGATATCTGTCATTTTTCTCTTTGCAAAAGCCAAAGGTGGCATTGCAAAGCAATCTAACGAATGTCTCCTGTCTTTCCCATCTGAAAGCAAGGAAGCGTCTTTGAAATTAAAACCTGAAATTCTAACTCACAATGACAGTAATAAATCCCTTCCCGCTACCACCCAGTAGGCAACACTGCTTTGTGTTCAGGCATTATGAAGTACAGTAGCAGTAAATTAATGTCATGTTTTATATTGTGACCTAGAAATTTGTTGTGTTAAGTGTTAACCAAGCCCTTTGAGTCTGCACAATTATTTTACGAGATATATATAAAGTGTGACAGCTTTAGCAATGATCGCATATTCTTCAGTTCTGTTAAATAATGCCTAGCATCTGTCACTGACATGGGCAACTTTTTCAGTAGTTCCAAATATTTCATTTAATTAGAGACTGGCAGCTGCATAACAACAAACTTGAGTTTCCGTAATTCACCGTTTGCCCCGTGTGTGGCAATACAAAGAGGGTATCCAGTTCTGATAATACTTTACAGTCCATCCATTCATGAGGAAATTGTACCTCTGGCAGAATTTAATGTTGCAACTTTCTAAAATGTGTCTTGAAGGGTCAGAGTGGGTAACGGATGCAAAACACCCAGTCACACCAAGCAAAAGAAGAATAATTAAATGCACGGGCACTCTGCCCCCATTTTTCAGTTTAATCCTATACGCTAGACTGACCATTATTTTATATATTATTGTATATTTAGATCCCATGGAGCTTAAGGCACCATGCATGGTTTTCCTTCTGCAGATAATGACTGGGCCAAGGCCACCCACTAAATTTCATGGCTGAGCAAGCATCTAAATCTGGGCCTCCTCCATCTTAGGCTACATTGACACCATTCATTTAAGCCACTATAATATCACTTTGGACAGCCATGGCTTCCCCCAAAGGATTCTGGGAACTTTAGTTTGTTAAGCGTTCTGAGAGTTGTAGGAGATTCCCCTGCACACCCCCGGTCCCCAGAGTTCCCTGTTCTTCTTTCTTAAGGCTCTTTACCTTTAAACCAGTTTTGTAGTAGATAGCCCTTCATATTTGGAGGGATCCTTGAAATAGGTGGTTGTTCTTCATAAAGAAATACATGCAGCCATCCACAGTTGGACCATTCTGACAGGGCAAGCAGGAGGGGTGAGGCAGTGGCAAGGCTATTGCGATACGAATGCAGCAGCTGGAGCATCATGTTGGCTCCATCAGTGCATTTGTGCATCACTGACCACCACGACTACCCTCTCAACCTCCTGGTACACCACAGCAACAACAGGTATGGGAAATCAGGTGAGCAGTGCCACCCCACCAACTGCTACAGCATCCTACCAGACACACACTAACCCCTGTTCACTCCTAGAGAGAGGGGGGTGAGTTATCCCTCTTCCCTGCTCATGCAGGAGGTGTCAGCTCAAATTCCCCAGTTCTGACTGGGGATCCCTATATTGGGCCGATTCCTTCCACATCAGTGCCTTTCTACATCCAGGTGAGAAGAGGTTAGGGCTGATTTTGTTCCCCGTAGTCACTTAGCCATTCAGCACCATACTCCATGCCCTTTTCAAGTCAGAAGTAAAATAGAATTCATTCTTATAAAGTATAAATGTGCTTCAAGGAGAGCCTGCACGCCAAACTTCACCCGGAGTGTATTTCTCAGTCAAGTTATTAACAGCTGAAAAGGAAGTCATTGGATGAAATGGCTGCAAGACTCCTTAAAGAAGTCTAATGGCCCCACTGGGCCTCACTGTAATATCCCCTATATGTGTGCATTGTTCTTGCTTTTCCCCATCACAGTGACACATTAGGGCAAGGAACACAGAGACAACAGTCAATGGTCCCGGGAAGACAAATAAACAAAAACTCTCTTGGAACCCATTTTTCTTCTTTTCCTATCAGAGGAAAGCCAAGATAAACCAGCCTGCTGGAAACGGAATTACATCCTGGTATATATGACTGTTAGAGTTTAAAGATATTTTGTAGTTATAACTGCAAAGGAAATTGCCCTGCTATCTTTCCATTTCTTCTTGACACTTCTGCGAAAGAACATCAATATCTCCGTTAAGACGCTGCTCTCCTTGACGGCTGAGCCTCGCCATTCCTTTTCTCTTGCTGTTAATTATTTTCATCCATAGCCAGCTATTTGTTTCCTCTGAACTGATAAATACAATCAATAGGAAGAATGCTGCAAGAATGAGGCTGCCAAAACTAATTTGGCATCTGGACAATTTGTTTTCCCTTCACCGTTATGATAGAACATGAATTTGAAGTTTGATTTGATTTGTTCCCACAAGCCTGTCATTTACGCTTTTCTACCCGGGTGTTTGGCATGTGTTGAAATGGGAATAACCAGTGACAAATATTAAACATGCATAGGAAGTCTTATGTCTCTCCTCCATTTTTTAATATAAATAATCTTTTTTGTTCATTTTCTCCCAGTATATGCATTTTTGTATGCCTTTCGGAGGGAGCGCTGGAGAGCTGCGCTGCAAACTTCAGAAGAGTGTGAATTTTGAAGCATACCTGCATTTTGATTTTTATATATTGTTCGAGAAGTTTGGAATCTTGTGGTCACTGGTGATGCTGTTAGCAACTTGAGAGCTTTCAGCAGATAAACCATCAGGAGGAGCAACAAAAATAAGCTTGGAGTTTTACTCTTTTCTTTTCCCAATAAAATAAAAACACATTTTAAAGTAATGCGTTTCTTGGAGAAAATAAACTTGTTCCCAGCTCTAAGTGGTAAGTGAATACAATATATTTCTTGTTTACATCTGTTGTAATGACACAAAAGGAAATCTTTCTTTACCATTAGATATACCTTAGCTTTTCTTTCAGTGTTGAGAGCCTGTACTGTTTTCACCTGGGACTATATTGAAAGGTTCCATTTTGATTGCCTAGGTATATAATAAGGATTGTATCTACTGACGCCTTACTGTGCTTTATTTTCTAACTTCCCAGTTTCTGAAAACTGATTATTTTAGAGCTTGTACAACATAGTTGAAGGCTAGTCTAATCTCCCAAAATAATGAAATCTTTTCTGCTATTCTTCCATTTCTTGTGTTCTTTTATCAAGCTACTGAAGCAAGATTGGGGCTAATGCTACTGTAGCCATCAGAGGGAAGTCTCAAACACCAGGTTGCTAATTTTTGACCAGTACCAGTGGTTGCTTCCATTTTGATAACACGCCTTGAGGCCATCCATCCTTTCAAACTATTTCCCCATATATTCTCTAATATTTAAGCCCCATTCAGGTGTTCTGATCTTTCCAGCAATGAAGGCAAGTGGGGAGGAGCATACTAGGTCTGTTCCTCATCAAATCCTTGTTATGATTTGTAGAAGCAGGGCTTTTTTCAGCCAGAGCTCACAGGACCTCAGCTCCAGTGCCTCTCAGGTGGGCAACCATCGCTATTCTAAGAGAACAAGGGAGAAGTTCATGGTGAGCTCCGACACTTCTTTTTCTAGAGAAATAGTACTGTGCAGACGTCAGTTGGCCCATAACTTGTTAGACCTGTGCCCATCATCTGTTGTTGGTACTACACCACACTTCAGCCAGTGTGGTCAGCAGAAAATGCACAGCTCCAGCCGAGTCTTTTTGCAGAACACCAGTTTTCCTGCTTTCCAGTAGTCAGCCTTTTCCAGAGATAAGAAAACTCCTTTCCCACTCAATTCAGTTTAGAATACGAAGCGTTTATTGTCTCATGGCACAAGACAAGCATAAACACACTAGCTACATAAACTTTAAGAGATGCTGGTACAACAGCCAGAGTTGTACATGTGTGTGAAGTGGAAGCAGGCTGGAAGCTGGGGAGAGAAACATGTTTGCTCTGTGCTGGGCTTTGCGTGGCTCCCAGAAACCAAATAGGGAATCAATATCTGTTGGGGTGCTGGTGCTGTGAGTCCCTCCATGCTATGCTCAGGTTGTCTATATGTGCAATTGAAACCATATATTCTAAAGCCACCACAGTCTCTGCTGACCTTTATTCCAGGGAAACCTGACCCTGGATTCTGTCACTGCTTTGAGAATTGGGTGGTATGTAACAAAACGATGACTGTATTCCACTTATTTCCACTTACAATAAATCACCCTCTATTCTTTTTACGCTTCCTTCCTAAATCAGAGTCCCTCTCCTACAGTATCTTGAAAAAAGGCAGAGATGTGCCATCAGTTAAGAATTAACATTTGTAAATATCCACAGCAATGTGTTTTCAAGCTTCTTTGCCTCCCTTGGAATGCGCTTTGAATGGATGTATCTCAAGGTAGCGCCACAGGCGTGCCTTTGCAAAGCATTGTTACCAGCAGAATAGGTGTACTTAAAGTTGCACTCAGAAAATCTCGCTTATACCAAACAGAGCTTTTCCAAAAAGAGAGGTGGGAGGAGAGATACGTAGAAGGAAACGCAGGCTAGCAATACAAGGGGAACTTTCGTTATAATCCAGACAACACTCTGTGTCTCCTGAAAGCCATTCTCCCAATGGGAATAGTTACAAAAGAATGCAATTGTGTATACCTTTTAATACATTCAGTCTTCTCTCACAAAGAAAGCTAGATTTCCTTTTTTATTTTTTATAAGGCCACTTTAACATGAAATATCAAAGGAAAAAAATCCTTACAAAGCGAATTAAAAAAAAATTAAGCTCAAGGGCGGGGGAAATAAATTATCTGAGCGCCCAGCATGCTTTCTATCTCCTGCCCATGTGGAAAGAAAAGATAAAGAAGCAGGCAGAGAAGCCAAAGTCAGGGGAAATGAGTGTTTAAAAATCTTGTCGTCTCTGAAGTCGGAAATATAAACAGTAGACAATAAATATGGAAATATCAAACTTTATTGGTTATAAAGTGACTGCTTTATTGGATATACTGGGAGGAATCTGATATTTGTTCAAGATCTCAAGTGGCCTAAAAAGAAACATATGACTTAAATATATGATTGCTAGATATTATTAAATATTATTTTTAAGTGTGTGTTTGCCTATGCATCTGTGCAGTACCAATAGCATGTTCCAACATGTTTATAGCCATTGAAAGACCTGCACAATATTAATTTACTATATTTATTTATTATTTAT